CCCCCACCCCCCCGCCGCCGCCGAGTTGTGGCCTCACCCGCCCCGGGTCCTCACAGGCCTCTCTGTTCAGCCCGTAGATAAGCAAAGGGAGCTGGGATGGCTCATGGGAAATTTTATGGGCTAGGCCTGGGGGAAGTGCCATCATTGCTACCCACATTTCATTGGCCAGAGCTCTTTTTGTTTGAGGTCCAGAAATGAGCAATTTCTCAAGCCTGTGAGGCTCTTGGTCTCTAGACTCTGTCTGTTCCCTCCTGTCTTTGCTGGAAATCCATCAGTTCTTGCCTGGGCTCATCTCTTCCTCGGAAAACATCTGGCTGAGGTCCGCCATCAGGCTCACAGCATCATCCTGATCTGTCCAGCCACTTTCCTGAGCGCTACAGGCTCCACAGGCACAGTCCATCTTCTAAATTCCTGGGGGTGTGAGTCTCACCACATATTTTGCTGGCGTGTAACACAGATCTCCATCTTTCAGCCTCTGAGACCCAATTTCCTCACTGGCTCCTGCCTGCCTACTATATTTTAGGTTGTTGCTATGGTAGCACCCACTGCAAGATACCTACTTCTGCATTAGTTCAGGTAACACAGCGACTTTAACAGGTAAACCCAAGTTCAACGTGGTTAACACCACTAAATGTTCATGTCTTTCTCCCACCATGTTCTAGTGCAGATGTCCTTGGAGGTGTGGCCTTCCATTTTCTCATTCAGAGACCCAGGCTTTTTCCATCTTGAAGCTCAGCCTTTCTGTGGGTCCTTCTAGTCCTCTCCACCTGCTGGCTCTGGGGAGCAGAGCAAGTGTCCCCTGTGGATATGCCTGGAAATGGGGCACATTGCTGCTGCCTAGAACTCAGTTGTAGGGTCACACTTACTGCACGAGGGGCTAGGAGATGGAGTCTAGCCACAAGCCCTATAGGAAAAGAGAACAGGTTTTGGCGTGTACATAGCAGGGGCCGGACGGGTGGAATAACATTCAGGGACTTACCGGGGAGAATGTCAACAGCCAGGCAGGCTGCCTTGGCGCTCACCAGGGGTGCTGACAGCTACAAAGGTCAAAGGATGTGCCAGTATCTTCATTAAGGCAGCAAACGTTTACCGCATGTCCACTCGGTGCCAGGCAGTGGGCCAGACCCCGGGGACTTGGAGCCCCTCTAATCACAACCTGGTGCTGGGATGCCAAGGGGCCAGAGAGCCTGGGGAGGGAGCGGGGGGTGGGAGGGTTTTTAAACATGGCTGGTTGGAAGTGCTTCCTGCAGGCCTGGAAACACACTGGTGTAGTTCAGCCTGGTGCCACCATTAGCCAGCCGTCTCTGCAGTGTGTCAGATGCAAGGTAATTAGAGGGGCAGAAAGGGCAGCTGATAGCAGATGTTGTGTTTGTATCCGTCTCGGGTGTTTTCACAGGACATTGTCTTTCTCTCTGAGGCTTCTAAGGAAGTGGACGAAGGGTTGTCATTTGTGTGTGTGTGTGTGTGTGTGTGTGTGTGTCTCTGGCTGTTGGCCAAGTTAGGGAGCTGGCACTGTGTCTTTGAACCCCCTGCGTGGGGCAGAGGGCAGTGAGGGAAAGACCCAGAGCCTGGCATCCGGCTCTCTTCATGTAACCGGCCAGCCTTTCGCGTGAGAGGCTGCTGCTGGTGTTGGCTGCATAGCCGGCCCGGCAGCAACTGAAGAAGTGGCTGAGATCTGGGCACAGAGCTTTCAGTCAACAGCCGCTGAGCGTCTGCTCTGTGCCCGTCTCTGTCAAGTGCGTGGACGCTCCTCCCCTGGAGCCCATTCTCTCTTGGTAACTCAGGTCGCCGGGGAAGGGCCTTGAAACTGCTCTGTAGGGCAACGGCAGCGTTCTCTAGGAGGGTCTTCAAAATGAGCTAAGAAGATGGGCATAGAGGACGGATTTCACACAGACCAGAACAGGCCATGCAGGGAAGTTTTTAAATCTCTTTCAGAAATATTTCTTTGGGGGTAGACAATCATGTCACTAGAAGCAGGTAGCCTAGGTAGCACCTAGGACACCCTTCCGAGATGCGTTTGTTCATTTGTTGCACATTTTCTGCCAAAGAAGTGAGACTACAAAAGGTTAAATTTCTCATCTAAGATTAATTCCGCCATCTCTGTGAAATGGAGGAAGCAGAATATCATTAGGCCCTCTAATCTCATTTCTCTCGTGCTGTCTTCCTTGGAGCCTATCAAATAGTGTCCTGGCAGAGAATCAGCTCTGTGGATGCGATGCATCAGGGTCAGTCTCTTTCTGAAACGGGAAAGAGGGCTGCCGTTTAGAAAATGTAACCTACCTTTTAAGGCAGGATGAAAAGGTACTGAATGCACCTCTCTTTGCATGTTAGAGGCCAAATGTTTTGGCCGTGTTCAACCTGTAATTCCTGTGTAATTTTATTTTCCATGTTTTATTAGAGTTATTTGCATGACATATTAGAACAAAACTTGCTCAAACTGTTGATATTTGCGGATCTCTGGTGGTTTCAATGAGCACTGTCTGGGGCCCTAAATATACTAACTGGTAAACAAGATATGTGTCTTTTGAGTGTGCATTCAAGACATAATGTAGTTAACAATTTTGCCCTTGTTTTAATTTCTGGTCTTCAAAAACGCATGTAATTTTTCTTATCTGATTTAAGTCTTTTTTGAGGGGAGGGGGTGGGAAAGTATCACCTACTACTATGTAAAAAACTAAGTATACTGGGAAGTTCGATGTTTAGATATTTTGTTAGTCCTGGGTTTTTTTTCATACTGTGATATTGTCATAAATTAAAGTGGGGTGGAGCCTACCAGGATTTTTAAGGTTTTTTTTCCTCCTATTTAAAGTTTTGTTTCTCCTATATAGCCTCGGATAGTGCTGGTTATTTTTATGTGGAATATTTGGGACAAAGCAGCTCTCGTAAACGAAAGATAATTGCAAGCTTTGTCCCTCGCCTCAAGTTTACTGCAGGGTTTCTATCCCCTTTGGTTAGACAGATATGAAATTATAAACCACCAGTAGCCTGGGAAATTTCAATCGATTCCAAATGACTAAATATTTAATTCAATCATTGCCTGGACTTCCAGGGATGACTCGGGTGTTTTTCTTTTGACTGAGGACTCCATGAAAGCCCGGCAATGGCTGCTAAGGATTGTGTCTGTTGCAAGGAGGCTCCCCTGCAGTGAGGAGCTGGGGCTAGCCCGTTCCATAGCAGCCCTTTTTGCAAATGGTAGTTGATTTTTGCAGAAGGTTTGTGGCCAGATCGCTATGTGTCATACTGATGAAGCATTTTTGTTCCAGCTCTGTCTCGGAAGACCTAGGCTGTAGACGTGGGGATTTCAGTAGGAAGCATTATGGATCTGTGGAGCTGGTAAGTTTACACTGTTCAGTGGTAGCACATTGATTTAGATTTAGAGAGGCTCGCCACGCTCATCAGATCTTTTGTTGTATATTTAACTGTTAGACCATGTGAATACAGCATATGGGTTGGATGCGAATAAATGACTATTAAAAGGGTCTAATCTGATCATCTTTATTTGTTGCTGTTACGTACTTTGCATCTGTGTCTTTCAGTTTGCTAAAAATGTGTTGTGGCTTGGCCTTTTTCTCTGTCAGTGATGTATATTATTTAAAAATGATGTATGAATTAGGAAAGGTAGCATTTGGTTTTTATAATATCTTGTTCCAAAAAGTTTATCAATCTAGTTTCTGAGGTTTCAATATTATTGAAATACATGTTCTGATTTTTTTTGTACCTTTGCTCTCTGGGTATGTGACAGGAGTTGGAATATTTATGAGATTTTTTTTTCTGTTAAAAGTATATTTGTTGGACTAGATAAATGACTGTAATAGATGATAAATATCTGGAATGAAAATATCCACATTTTCTTTAATGAGGGACATTGGGGTTTGTGTTATGATTTTTAAAAATAGGATGCTTTCATTTTAAAAGAGGCCTAATGAAGGCATAAAATAGCCTCAATTATTTTTTTTAAAGACAGAATTGGGTTTGTTTTTTTCCCAATTGTATGGACATTTGAACAAATTTTCAGGAAAACATGCTCATAAAATTGTCTTGATTATTATTTGACATTATTAAAAACATTACATTTATTTCTGTCTACTTACCAAAAAAGTGAGTTGATTTGTATAGTACCCAATTATCCTTCATTAATATAAGCTGCATTCTTACAGGGTTTAACAAGTAGGAAATTTCATGCCAGAGCGTGTGCCAGTAGCTTATAGTACAAGCCAGACTATGTACCTGGCGAGCCCCGGGATGAGTAATCTTGAAAATATGAGTGAAACATTTGGTCCTTGATCTTCAGGAGCTTACTGTCCTCCAGCTGAGCAGATAAGATACGTAAAATATCTAAAACATGAATTTTGCCACATAAAAAACTCATTGACTGACTCAATCGATGCCTGTTCTGTGTCAGTCACCATGCCAGCTCAGACCACTACCTCTCCTGAAGGAGCGTGTGCATAGCTGCCATCCAGGGTGGGAGTTGGTAAATAATGGGAGAGGTGTCCAATAGGGCACGGTGGGGGGCGAGGGGCGGGAGGGAGCGACCCATTCTGGCCACGATCCATCTTGGGGAAGCAGCCTAGAAGGCCTCGAGGAGGCTGTCGGATGTGGGCTGGTGGCAAACGAGGTAAGATAGCAGATATGTGCAGGCAGCATGATTTTGGGCAGTGGTATAATTGAAGGGCAGCAAACAAGTGGTCCTGCCTAGCGGGGTTAAGGCAGCAGAGCTTAGTGGTTAGAAAGCAATTAGGCTTTGGAGTCAGAAAGGCCTGCGTGCATCTGCCAGCTCCATCACTCACTATCGCCGTGAACTTCGCTGAACCTCAATGGTGCTTAAGATCTTATGCTCTGAAGACATTCTTGTTTCATCATTTCCTAGTGGTGTATGATCTTGGACTTCTTTGGGCCTCAGTTTTCTCATCTATGAAATGGGGATATTAGTATTATCCACCTTAATGAGTTGTTGGAGGATTAAATGAGGTGATGTGCAGAAGAAGCACAGTCCATGTTAACTAGCTGTCGTAGTAAAAACGAAACTTGTTAGCCAAGGTAGAACCTTGAGCTCTCAGGTGAAGACTTTGAGCCTGATCTAATAAGCAGCGTGGAGCACTTGTAATTAGTGAGAGCAGTGTTTGGGAGGGACAGACAACACAGGATGAAAGATGGGCCCTTAGAGACTTGTGGAAATCAAAGAACGTCAGATTGGGAAGGTACCTGAGAACAGTGCGTTCAAACTCGAACAGCCATCAGAATCACCTGGAGTGTTTATTAAAACCGAATGCTGGACCCCCATCCCCGGAGATGTAAATTCAGTCGGTCTGGAGTTCACCCACAAGTTGCATTTCTAACAGGTGCCCAGATGATATTGGTGCTGCTGTTCCCAGGACCATACTTGAAGAAAGACTAGCTTTGGGAAATCCCAGACTAATGAGACCAACAGTTCTTTAATCCATTTGTTCAAGTTTTTACTCTGGAGCTGTGTGTGTGTGTGTGTGTGTGTGTGTGTGAGATTTACTTTTTAGGATAGTATCTAAAATTTAAATATATATTTAAAGCCAATGTATAATTCCACCACCTTGTAGCATGTGCTCTCATCTTCTTTTGGTACCTTCCAATCTTTAGAGCTACAAAGGTCATTTCTACACGGTTCTAATCAAATTGTATATTTCATTTTACATTCATTGTTTTTCATGTAGCTGTTTAAATATCTTCTTGTTGTTTTACAGTCTTCAGTGTCACCATTCTAATTGGCACATGATGGCCCAACATGGTGATAAACAATGACTGTGTGACAGTTTTCCTCATTAGAAATGACATGGTGGTTGGGGTGGTTGAGAAAAATCAGTTCTATTGTTGCGATCTAAGGATCTCTGAAATTCTGACTCCAGGAGGAAGGAGACGTTTCTCTCTCACCATGAACAATAGGGTATTGGTAAATTAAAAACCCTTATATGCATTCTGTGTTTATGAGAAAGTAAGTTTAACCTTTCTTACAGCGGGTTTGATGAATATTGTTGGGAACCAAGTTAAATCTTGGGCATGCTGGAACTCAAGCTTTGTAGAGGCGTACCCAGGATTCTATAAAATTGAAATGTTAGCATATACTTCTCCTGACCTTAAACAAGGTAGGTAGAAGTCCTTGTGAAGGATTAAACTTGGCCGTTCAAATCAGTAATGAGGGCTGATTTGGGGGCTGAGTTCTCTCGGGTTAGATTGGGTGTAAAGGTTCATGAGTGAGAACATGAATGCTCAGATCTCTGTCGACTAATGCGACAGGCTCTCAGCCCTCGTTCAATGACTATTGATTGAAGATCTACCACCTGTGTCAGGCACTGCTGCACCAGGCACTGAGGGAGAAGGAAAAAGGTGTTTCTGCTCTCATGGAGGTAGAGTCTAGCTTTAGAAACCGACTGCCTCAAACTTTTAGTCTCCAGACTGCTTCTTAACTGGATCCCAGCTATGTTCCCTGCCTTAATCAGGGATTGTTTTGTTGTAAGGAACAGAGATGCACTCAGCCCAGCTCCGGGATAAAGTAATTCACTGAACGGATGTGGGTGAATCTCACTGAGATGCACACAGTGCAGGGAGCACAGCTGGGCCTCGTGTGACTGTGAAGCCCTCAAGCTGCTATTAATATTTTCTGTTTCTCTCTGGTCCCTGTGATGTCTCAGCTTCACTTTCTCTGCGTGTCTGTTGCGTTCTCCTCTCTGCAGACCAGCATCCCCTGACTGCTCAGCTGCCTCTCTCCAGCTCATTTTTCCTAGCAGTGGTGCTTTTTAAACATTTATTATTATTATTATTATTATTATTATTGTGGTAAAATATACACAACATAAAATTTACCATTTTTAAGTGTATAATTCAGGGGCATTAAGTACACTCGCAGTGTTATGCAACCATCACCACTATCTACTTTTAGAACGTTTTTCGTCATCCCAAACAGAAACTGTACCCATTAACCAATAACCCCATATTCCCCCGCGTTCCCAACCCCTGGGAACCTCTGTTTCATTTTCTGTCTCTATGAATTTGTCAATTCTAGGGACCTCATGTAAGTGGAATTATACAATAGATGTCTTTTTGTGTCTGGTTTATTTCACTTAGCATAATATTTTCAGGGTCATCCATGTGATAGCATGCATCAGAATTTCATTCCTTTTTATGGCTGAATAATATTCCCCAGTGTATATAGACCACATTTTGTTTATCCCTTCATCTCTTGATGGACACTTGGGTTGTTTCCCCTTTTTAGCTGTTGTGAGTAATGCTGCTCTGAACATGGATGCACGAGTATGTGCTCGAGTCCCTGCTTTCAGTTCTTTTGGGTATATTAGCTAGGAGTGGAATTGCTGGATCCTATGGTAATTCTGTTTTTAACTTTTGGAGGAACTCCCAAACTTGTTTCACACTGGCTGTACCATTTTACATTTCCACCAGCAGTACACAAGGGTTCCAGTTTCTCACAGTCTCACCAACCCTTGCTGTTTTCCTTTTTTTATAGCCGTACTAATGGGTGTGAAGTGATACCTCACTGAAAGGCTTTGATTTGCCTTTCACTAATGATTAGTGATGTTGAGCGTCTTTTCACGTGCTTATTGTCTATTTGTATATCTTCTTTGGAGATATGGCATTCAAGTCCTTTGCCCATTTTTTAATCGGGTTGTTTGTTTTGTTGTTGAATTGTGGGAGTTCTTAATATATTCTGGATATTAATCCTGTATCAGATATATGATTTGTAAATATTTTCTTTCTTTTTTTTTAAATGTACACATTTTTTTAGAAAATGTTATTGGGGCACAATGTGTTTTTCCAGGCTCCATCAGCTCCAACTCAAGTCGGGTTGTTTTCAATCTAGTTGTGGAGGGCGCAGCTCAGTGGCCCATGTGGGAATCAAACTGGCAACCTTTTAGAGTGTTATGAGCCCGCACTCTAACCTGAGCCAACCGGTCGCCCCGATTTGTAAATATTTTCTCCTATTCTATGGGTTGTCTTTTTACTCGGTTGACAGTGTCTTTTGATGCATAAAAGTTTTTATTTTTCATGAAGTTCATTTTATCTATTGTTTTCTTTTGTTGCCTGTACTTTCGGTGTTATATCCAAGAAATCAGTGCTAAACCCAGTATCATGAAGATCTCCCCTGTTTTCTTCTGAGAGATTTATAGTTGTAGCTTTTACATTTATGTCTTTGACCCAATTAATGTTTGTAGATGGTGTTAGGGAAGAGTGCAGCTTCATTCTTCCAGTTGTGAATATCCAGTTTTCCCAGCACCGTTGGTTGAAAAGACTGTTCTTCCCGCCTTGGGTGATCTTGGCACCCTTGTCGAAAATCAGTTGTATCCAAG